TGTGAGAGGCAACCACACACTGATGCTTCTCTCCCTCTTTTTCTCCCTCCTTTCCCCTCTCTAAAAAATAAATAAATAAATAAATAAATTTATTTAAGGCCCTGGCTGGCATAGCTCAGTGGATTGATTGCAGGCCTTCGAAACACAGGATGGCGGTTCAATTCCCAGTCAGGGCACATGCCTGGGTTGCAGGCTATTTCCCAGCAGAGGATGTACAAGAGGCAACTACATGTTGATATTTCTCTCCCTCTCTCCTTCCCTTCCCCTCTAAAGATAAATAAATAAAATCTGAAGAAAAAAACCCCACTGTATGTTAGGTGTGAGAAATATTCTCTTATTATTGTAAAAGACTGCTTTGGACGTTCCTTCTAGCCCTGTCAAATGGTCAATGTCATCCCTCTCCACAGCATCCCACCCCTTGTTTCAAAGTACAGAAATGAACAAGTCAATTCTAATCACATGCTTGTCTCCAACAAAACACTCTTCTCATTAAAAAACCCATAGTACTGCAAATCTGTCACTCTTTACTCATTAACCTCATGCATATAAGAACTGAATCTACTAGCTTCTTTCTTAAACTGACTTCTGGATCAATAATCCACTTTAATTATAAATATTTCTATTTCCAAATAGTTGTTATAATTATCACAAGGTGAACCCTAGCTTTTAAGTATTATACTTGTGAAGGTAGGAAACTCACTACTTAAATAACATACTTGTCTAGCCCATTCTGTCCTGGAATTGCTCAATTATATCAAGGTTGCAGGACATAAGATTAATATACAGAAATCCATCACTTCCCCATATAACAGCAATGAATAAGTAGGATTTAAAATTTTTAAAAATACCATTAACATTAGCACCCTCAACGTACTTGGGTATAAATCTAACAAAGTATATATGAGGGCAGATCCCCACCTCCCTCAAAATGGAATTATCTTCTGGAGGGCAGGCCCCTTGTAGTACAGGCTTCCCCCACTAGCTGAGTGTTCTAGAAACCTATCTGTATCAGTGTGCCAGCAGGTGTTTGTTGTGAGAGGCTGCATTCAGCTTCGGTGACATTTTTTTTTATGACTCAACACATCTGCCCATCTCATGATGGATGATTTATGAGTACACCTGCCCACACTGTTGCATATTCATTAATTTTTGACCAAAAATGACATGACCTCTGTGCCCCACACTCCCTACTCACCCGATTTCACCCCAAGTGACTTTTCTTTTGTTTTTCCAGATGAAAAAAGTCCTCAAAGAGAAAAATTTTGCCGATGTGGAAGAGGTGAAACAAACAAAAAGAAACCCAGCAGAAGCACCAAAAGGCATCAAAATCAAGTTAAAAACTGTTTTGAGCAGTGGGGAAAACATCTTGATATGTATATTTCATTAAGTGGACAGTATCTGGAAGGCTACTGAAGTTTAAACATGTAAGAATAAATACACAATTTTTAATAAATAATTTCCAGTTTTCTGGGGGTCCTCCCTCTCATATAATACCTATATGGGGAAAACTACAAAACTCTGAGGAAAGAAGTAAAAAAACTAAGTAAATGGAGAGACATTCTGTGTTCATAGATAGTAAGACTCAACATTGTCAAGATGTCAGTTCTCGTCACCTGAGTCTGTAGATTAAAAGCAATCCCAATCAAAATCCTAGTTATTTACTTTGTGGATATTGACAAACTAATTCTAAAGTAAATACAGAAAGACAAAAGACCGAGAATAGCCAACACGATATTGAAGGAGAACAATGCTGAAGAACTGACACTACCTGACTTCAAAATGTACTATAAAGCTACAGTAATCAAGACATTTTTATAGCTCTGGAAAAGCACAGACATGAAATAAACAGACTCTAGTTTTTAAAAGATCAAAGCAATCTGCTGAAGTTAACATTTTTAGAAAAAAATTTAATGATAAACTTTTTAGATGAAATCATTTTAAAGTCTGGAATCCTATTGTTACTATAGTATTCTCATATGCAGAAAAACAAAAACTCAGCATTTCAAACATAACTTGGAAAAAAGCAAAACTGAATTATGATCAAATTAAAGTCTGAGGAAGAAACAAAAAGCTTATAAAAACTTTTCAGTTGATATATCTCATTTCATAAAACAGTTCAGCTTCTTTAGTAATCTAACCATTCCTTAGAGGCCAGATTTTCTTTGTATGGAGAGCTTTGTTGTATTGTTTTCTTATAATGAGGTTTTTGAACTAGGTGAAAATTAAGTTTAAAAGCACTTCTTTCATATTTAACATGCGAGATCTGTATCTTGTTTTCAATTAAAGAACACTACATTCAAAATTAAATTGAATGAATGAGTGTAGGGGGGGAAAGCCAGAATAGCTCTGATCATTCTTTTTTTTTTTTTTTAAGATATTATTTATTTATTTTTAGAGAGCAGGGAAGGGAGGGAGAGAAACATCAATTGGTTGACTCTAACACACTGCCAACTGGGGACCTGGCCTGCAACCCAGGCATGTGCCCTGACTGGGAATCAAACCAGTAACCTTTTGATTCACAGGCTGGCACTCAATCCACTGAGCCACACCAGCCAGGCCTCTCTTAACAAACACATTCCAGTTGAGCCCTGGCCAACTCAGCTGGTTGAAAGCCATCCCACAAAGACAAAGGCTGCCAGTTCAATTCCTGGTCAGGGCACATGTCTGGGTTGCAAACCTGGTCCCTTGTTTGGGCGCATGCAAGAGGCAACCGATGGATCTTTCTCTCTTTCGCTTTCTCCCTCCTTTCCCTTCTCTCTAAAATAAAATCTTTTTTAAAAAAGCAAAAACATTTCAGTTGTGTGTAACAGTGTGTGCTATTGTTAAATCTGTCCCTTATTATTTTTGCAGCTATTAAAGGAAATTGGGAAAGTAATTTTATACAGTCTCTGTTGTCCTTCCCCTCCTTATAACTATTCTTGGTATTTCTTGACTCCTTGCACTTTGTATTTTACTTCTGACAAGAAGCTAGAGCAATAATTCAGAAGGAAAGCTAAAGAAGGAATAAAAACCTAGAAGCATTTGCTCTTGCTTCATTTCCTGTCTCCAATGAAACTCACAAGCTACAGAATATCCTGCAGTAAATTATCTCCTACCACTTTCCCCAAGGTATGTTCACTCTCCAAAAGAGTGCACTTTGAAGAGGCATTTGGGTTTCCTGGAAGCATATTCCAATTTATTAGGTTTATAAGACTAGAAAAGCAACTGTTATATGAATTTACAAATTAGTAATACACAGAACTGTAATGTAATAGCCACAGATACTTAATGAGATAACAGACTATTATGAATGTTCATACTTTTCTAAATTACTTTCTTTTGCTGTGCCAAAACTTTTTACTTTGATGTAGTCCCATTTGTTTACTTTTTCTTTTGCTTCCCGTGCCTGAGGAGATACAACAGAAAAAATATTGCTACAATGTGCAATTTTACTGCCTATGTTTTCTACTACAATTTTTACGATTTTGAGTCTAACATCTAAGTCTTTAAACAATTTTGAATTTATTCTTTAGTGTAGCATAAGAAGGTGGTCTAGTTTCATTCTTCTGCATTTATCTGTCCAGTTTTCCCAGCACCATTTATTGAATAAACTATCTTTAGCGCATTGTATGTGCTGGCGTCTTCTGTCAAATACTGACTATAAAGGAGTGGGTTTATTTCTGGGCTCTCTATTCTTTTCCATTGACCTATGTGTCTGTTTTAATGCCAGTCCTGTGCTTTTTAAAATTACTATGGCCTTGTAGTGTAGTTTGCTATTAGGTAGCATGAGTCCTCTTTGTTCTTCCTTCTCAAGATCACTGTTGCTATTTAGGGTCTTTCGTGGTTCCATATAAATTCTTGAAATATTTGTTCTAGTTCTATGAAATACATCTTTGGTATCTTCATAGGAATTGTGTTGAATCTCTAGATTGCTTTGGGTAGTATGGACATTTTAAGGGTGTTAATTCTTCCTATCCACGAGGACAGTATGTGCTTCCACTTATTTGTATCTTCTTCAATTACTTAATTCAGTGCCTCCAATTAAAACATGGGCAAAAGACTTGACTAGGCACTTCTCTAAAGAAGACATACACATAGTCAAGAGACATGAAAAGATGCTCAATGGCACTAATTATCAGAGAAATGCAAATTAAAACCACCATGAGATACCCACCTCACACCTGTCAGAGTGGCTATCATCAATAAATCAACAAACAAGTGCTGGCAAGGATGCAGAGAAAAAGGAACCCTTTTGCACCGTTTGTGGGAATGCAGATTGGTTGCAGCCACTGCGGAAAACAGTATGGAGATACTTCAAAACATTAAAAATAGAACTGCCTTATGACCCAGTGATTCCACTTCTGCAAATTTATCCTAAAAAACCTGAAATACTGGTTCAAAAGAATGTTAGCACCCCCATGTTCATTGCAGTGTTATTTATAATAGACAAGATTTGGAAGCAGCCCAAGTGTCCATCAGTAGATAAGTGGATAAAATAGCTGTGGTACATTTACACAGTGGAATACTACTTGGCTATAAAAAGGGAAATTTTACCCTTTGTGACAGCATGGATAGACCTGGAGAACATTATGATGAGTGAAATAAGCCAGTCAGAGAAGGACAAATACAACATAATTTCACTTATATGTGGAATATAATGAACAAACTGAACTAACAAGCAAAACAGAGACACACTCATAGATAGAGAGCAGGCTGACAGCTCTGGGGGGGGTTGGTGTTTGTGGGGTGGAGGGATTGAGTCAAAAAGAAAAAGGACTCGGACGTGGACAACCGTGTTGGTGACTGTGGGGGGTGTATGGGCAGAGGTGGAAGAGGGTATAAGGGAGATAAATGGTAAAAGAAAAAATACAATAAAAATAAACTGTTAAAACAATAAAATTAATTTGTCACTACAAAAAGTTGTAATTATCAGTAGTAAGAGAACGTTTTTAAAAAATACAAATGACGATCATTACTTCACAACTATGCTTTTAACAATTTATGCCCACATATAATCTTACCCTTCTGGTTTTGTTTCCTAGACATTGTAGTGTCTTTGATCTCAAAAGATACAGAAGAAGTGTATTCTTTTGCCTTGTCTGGGTTCTGATTGTAGTTCTCTCTGATTTAAAGGTAGGCAAGGGAAGTCTATGGTTGGAGGTAATAAATACCAAATCCTGGTTACTTGAAATTCTGCTCTCTAACTGGTGATCTCCTTTCCTTCTATTAACTTCTTGTCAAGAAGTATAGTCGCAGACATTCATGTCTCTGTTTCCAGGGAGGTTCTGGAGGAAAAAACAACAACACATATTTACTGTTATAGTAATAGCTGTCTGTACAAAATTTCTAAGAGATCTCCACAGGCTTTATTTTGTATTTTTTTCTAAACAAAACTAGTGATTAGAAGAAAAGTATTCTAAACATGTATGTGTGTGTATATACCTGTAAATACAATGTTTTGCTCCTTTAGAAACTTTAATCTTAGAATCAAACCATCTTTTTATTTCAGAAAGCATATTTTCTTAGTCATCTTATATTTTGTGTCTACCTCAAATATTTTATACAGACCTCTGCTTCACAAACTAAAATATTACCTTTTATCACTGCTTAAGATCTTTCTTACTACCTGCTCTTCCTGTCCAAGCCAAGGGTCTTTTCCCTTCTGGAATTTCCTATTTCTAATCTCTCCTCAGGTTTCCCAGATTAAATACAGTGGCAAGAAACTTGGGAGCAAGGGCGAATGGATGGCACATGAAGGAACCAAAATTTGGATTAGTTCATTCTGCACGAAGCTTCGATAAATTGTAAAAGATACAAGTGCTATTTTTTCCACTTTATTAAACCTTTTAAAAATACATGCCCAAGATTTCTGGGTAAAGAAAGCATGATGGATTACAGAACTTATACCTAGCACCTGACAGAAAAAATATTTTATAAAATGCAACCCAAGAAGGAAATGAAAGTAACCTTATATGAGCTACTTCCCAATGTGGGAGGAAAATGAAGGGATGAATCAATAGCCCTGGGAAAGCTTTTTAAAAATCCATCAAGAGTAAGAAGAGCCTCTGAAAACCACTATGGGACCTGAGGAAAGGCAGCTGAAACTCTGCAGCTGACCCTCTTTCACAGCATTGACCCTCACTGGAGAGTCCCGTCAAAGCCTATGGAACACACGGAATTTACTGGTGGATAGTGTGGGCCTGACAGAAAGCATTTTATTAGATTTTAGGATGAAATTCAGATCTTTAAGGAAAAAAGCATTGCTAGAAAAAGAACTGTATCATTCTAATAAAAGTGCCATTACATCCCTTCTCCAAAGGGAGGGTTGGTTCCCTCTGAGAATGAACACAGAGAACTTTGTAAGGGTAAAATGTTCTATATCTTGATCTGTGTGGTACTTACATGGGTGCACACCTGTATAAAAATGCACTGAGCTGAGACAACTGTACTTGAACATTAAGAAAATAAATGAAAATGAAAAACAAATTCATTGAGCTGTATGTACTCTTAAGATTTGTACACTTTACATAAAATACAACTAAAAAACTAAAAATTTTTCTGTAAAAACTAAGAGAAAAAAACCCAAAGGATACTCTTGGCCAAGTGACTCCATTTGTATGTAAGGAACCATTCTGTCACGCATTTTTTCCCAAAATGTGAACATAATGCATGCAACACCTGAAGTGTGGGGAAACGGGTTATCAATAATGAATGGATATATTAAAAAGGAAATGGAAATTATTAAATCTGTATTAATTTGTTGCTGCTTATTAAGGTATTTTTTTCAACTTTTAGAAGCTGTTGATTTTCCATCAACCTTCACTTTTCCTTTTGTAGCTGTCCTGTTCCACTCAGAAGTCAAGGTTGGCACCACCTAAGTGGGTTCCTGTGGCAAGGAACTGGAGGACATCCTCCTCCTTCACTTGCAGGACGTCAAGGCCTGCAGGCACAGTAGGAGTTTCCCTTTCCCTTACATGGGAACCGAGAACACAATGCCATTGAGGCCCTTCTCTTGGTAGTGCAGAAAGGTGCTTATTAAGTATTAAAGCCAATTCAAAACGGTCAGTCTGGGATTAGTTACTTCTGTGAGTTAGAACTTAAAGCTAAGAAAACTAGTGAATCCCATTCTGCCTTCAGTTAGTTTTGCTCTAAAGAAGTCCATTGCTGCCCTGGCTGGGTGACTCAGTTGGATGGAGCACTGTCCCATGCACCAAAAAGTTGTGGGTTTGATTCCGGGTCAGGGCACATACAGGAGGCAATTGAACAAGATCAATTCCTCTCTCTCTTTCTCCCTTACCCTCTCTCTAAAATCAATATACATATCCTCAAGTGAGGATTAAAAAAAAGAAGAAGTCGATGGTCACAGACCTTACCCCCAGTAGCAGCTAGACAGACATGCTACTGGTTCCTAGGCACCCTGAGCCTAAGGGAATGGCTGGTGACTCTCAGTGGGGAAATGGGAAGAGGATGAATATGCTGTTTTAAAACCTATTACTTTGATTTATTGTTAATTTTTATACTTATTTTTCATTTCAAATCACAACAATAGAGAGCACAAGACACACACACACACACACACACACACACACACACACACACACACACACACACACACACACACACACACACCCAGAATGGGTTGAAAGGGATGGGAAAGAGAGAAAGTAGAAGACAGGTTATCGAAGCCAGAAGGAAGAAAACATTTGCAAATCATTTATCTGACAAGGGGTTACTACCCAGAATACACTGAGAACTCCTACAACTTAACAACAACAACAAAAACCCCAATTTAAAAACAGGCAACGGACTTGAATAGCTATTTCCAAAGAAGATACACAAATGATCAACAAGCTTATGAAAATATGATTAACACCACTCATTAGAGAAATAGAAAGCAAAACCACAATGAGGTATCATCTCATACCCATTAGGATAGCTGCTACAAAAAGAAAATGTGTTGGTAAGGATGTAGAGGAATTGGAACCCTTGTACACTATTGGTGGGAATGTAAAATGGTTCAACCACTATGAAAAACTCCACTATACGGAGTTTCTTAACATTCATATTAGACAAGAGGTAGAAACAATCCCCAGTGTCCGGTGACAGGCAATTAGATAATATTATTCAGCTTTTAAAAAGGAAGAAATCCCATCACATGCAACAATATGGATGAATCTTGAGGACATTATGCCAAATGAAATGTCAGTCACATAATAGACAACTACTGTATGATTCTACTTATATGAGGAATCTAAAGTAGTAAAATTCATAGAAACAGAAAGTAGAATAGTAGATGCCAGGGGCTGGAGGGAGCAGGAATTGGATATTGCTATTTAACAGAGAGTTTCAGTATTTCACCCGGAAGAAGTTCTGCACAGCTGTTACACACCTATGTAAATATACTTAACACTGCTGACCTGTAGAATTAAAAACTGTTAAGATGGTAAATTTTATATTATGTGGTGTTTACCACAATTTAAATTTTTTAATTATTTTTAAAAAAATCTTGAGGAATACATTGGTTTGAAAAAACAGAAATGAGAAATGTTATGCATAGATGGATTAGCAGAAATCCATCACCAGTAGTGGAAAACCACCAAAGCACACTGTCTGCTGAGCCTGAGTGTACCATTAACACACATGTGACTGCAGTGTAGCAGAGTGGGTAAGTGACGGCTTTAGAGCCAGACTGCCAGGTTTCCATCCCAGCTCCTCCACCTCCTAGCTGAATGACTGCAAGCAAGCTACTTACCTTTCCTGTGTCTCAGTTTCTCCATCTTAAAAATGCAAATAATGCAGTATCTTCCTCACAAGGTTGTTCAATGGTTTAAAGGAGTTCATACAGATGTAGTACTTAGAGTAATGCCTGACACTCACTGACAACCACTCAATAAATAATGGCTGATATTAACTGCAAGATGTGCCCCCCAAAACTAAAAGGTTCCAAGAATCATAGATTATATATGTTAATTAACAAACAAATTAGAACTTTACCAAGACTATGGGTTACCAGCAATAGGTCATAATTACAGTTATCATTAGAGTTTAGAATGGCAATGCCATAAAATTTAAATGATGTGCAATTAGGAAATCATAATCCAAAGCACTCTAAAGATACAGAGAGTATAATTTTCAAGTCTTGGAGTATTGGCATGCATTATAAGCACCTGACACTAATAAATAATTAATTGGGCTACATACAAAGGTACTTGCAGTTATTTTAAATTTTAAAATACAGACTGTTACAAAATCTACCTATCCATAGAACCAGGAAAAAAGAGGGGACAGGTGAGGAGGGAAGACAACTAAATCCTCATCTTCCATAATAGGACTGTCCCTGAAAAGATGAGAAAGTCAGTGAGTATTGCTGTGTTAATCAGAAATATGGAGATTAATACTAGAAGAAATGTTTATGATTACTCATGGAAAGCTAGAATAGAGAATTGGGAGGGGAGAGCAGAGGACTATTTTTTTTAATAATTTTTTTAGGCCTTATGATATTATTTGATTTCTTATACTGTGTATGTGTATACTTAGACTAAAAAACACTTTGACCTATTTCATGCAAATTAAAACTACTAAGACACCATTTCTTACCCTCAGACTGGCAAATATCCAAAATAATCACACACTGGTAGAAAGGCTACGAAAAAACAGGCCCCCTCATATCTAAGTGAGAGTGTAAATTTGTGTAATACCTATGGAAGACAACTAAATATTAGTTATCAAAGTCAAAAATGCATATTCTGTTTGATACAGCAAGACAATTTATAGGAATTTACCCTACAAACACATTTGCAAATGTGTGAACTGATGTGTTCAAAGTTATCCAATATTACACATAAGAGCAAAAGCTTGGAAATAACCTAATTGTACATCAAGAAAACAGTAATTTAATAAATGAGGGTTCATCCACACACGGATATGCAAATATTTTTGAGAAAAGAGAAAGTTTTTTGTATATTGATATAGTAAGATCTATTTTTAAATGAATAGGACGGGGAGAAGAATATAGTTATACTCACTTATATTCATATACATATTGTATATCTGGAAGGATAAACAAGAAACCAGCAACAATAGTGATCTACTGAGGAATAAAAACTTAAAAATAGGAAACAAAGGTACCTTTCAATCTACCATTTTTTTAATACTGGAACTGTATAAACAGTTTATCTGTTCAAAAAGTTTTAATACTTTTTTTAAAACAGACTCCTCCCCAGTAAATTAAATCAAAACTGAAAACCCTCCATTGACTCCAGATAATATTTGTTTGAACTCAGAA